CAACTAAAACGAATAGGGAACTTACTATAGTGAAAATATAGGTTGCCAAGAATCGATCTAAGAGTCACATTAAAATGCATTCAACTTTCAAAGGTACGAAAAATAATTAGTGCCGCATTTGCAAATGTCTCAAGAACAACTCCAGCGGCATTTTTAACTTTGTTGAATATTATTTAAGAGAAAGTGCGACAAAACTCGTCAAAGCATTGACTAAATAGAAGCATTACCAGTCGATTCCGTCACACCACAAACCGATAAATAATAATAATAATAATAATAATAATAATAATAATAATAATAATAATAATAATAATAATAAATCCAGGTTTGTCTGCTATTCGTTTGCTACCAACGTGGGCTGTGATATCTTTGTACACATACTTCTGAGGGGGCACACAAATTTACCTTTGACACACTTCCGCATCTCTTTCGTAACACATCAACAGGAAGAATCCAACAAAACATCCCGGTTTTGGTTTCGTAACGTCGCAAAAGGAACGTCGCAAAAGGCGCAGTTCGCCCCCCTCCCCACCCCACCCACGCGGGGCGCCGCGAACCGGCAATTCGGGGGAACGCGCGTCCCATTCGACGAGTCTAACGGCCCGCACAAGCGCGCCCGGGCTCGCATTGAGGTTCGCTCTCGCAGACTTCCTTCGAAATTGAATTACCTCGGTCGGCGCGTTCGGCGCAAGAGGGAACGCCTGCCGCTGCGCCCGCATAAACCATTAATAGCCTGAAACTCCTCCAGTCCCTGCGGTGGACGGTGCGGGAGACGCCGGGCCGCAGACCGCGAGCGATTTGTTCCGCGGCCGAGGAAGCAGGGGTGGGGCGGGGCGGCAAGAACAGAGGCGGCCGTGGGGCGAGTTGGGAAGAGGCGGGAGAGGTCGGAGGAGACAGGGTTGGAAAACGGCGGTGACGTAAGCGATGTGTGACGGAAGTAAGCGGAGGGGTGAGGAAGTGTTGGCGGAGGCCGGAGGCGATAGAAAGGACGGAGCGGCACTGGAACGAGGGGCTTAGGGACAGGCGGGGGGGGGGGTTAGCGGAAGGGTGGAGTGAGCTGCGAGTGAAAGGGGAGACGACAGAGGCGGCGGGGTCAGGGATGGCGAGAGCGGAAGCGGGGAAGGTAGGGGAGGCGACAGCGGGCAGCGAAGGTCGGAGAGGTCGTGGGGGCGGGGCGGCGGTGGTGGTGCGGGGCGGGGACGGGAAGGTGGGGCCCAGGCGGGCGAAGCGAAGGCGGCAGCGGGAGCGGAAGCAGCAGGGTGGCGGCCCCGCGGTGGGACGGGGGCGGGGAGGCGGCCGGTTTGGCTGCGCGGCGCACGCCGCCCGCTTCTTCCCAGCGTCGCCCCCGCCGTACAATCGATCGGGGATTGCTGCACCTAAGGGGTTGCATGAGGTCGGAGTCAGTCCCCGCGTCCTGATACGAGCCCTACCCCATCGCAAGGACAGGCTTTTAGAATATTTGTACTTTGAATGAAAACCATGATGAAAAAACAATCTCAATTATGATAGTATTACTATGTTATGCAGGATTAACTTATATCGAGGAGTTTCGGAAAGCCATTCTCTAGAAGATTATACGAGCACTCTGGTTTTTCTCCAAATTCAAATTGCTTCAAATTACACGATTAATGTTCTCTTTTCTTGATACTTCACCATCTAGTAGCTACTCCGCCAAAGAATAATTCGTCGGTGAATTTCTGCCATGTTACAAAAGTAGAGTTTGATGATTAGTTGTTTGATTAATAATCGAATATCAAATAAAATTCAAAATTAACAAGTTTGAACAGTTCCACAGACCGAGATCTTCTGTAACTGGTCCAAAACGTGGGCTAAATTCAAGTTTAATTTTCTATTGTTACGATGAAATGGCATAGTTGAATCTGAAAGTATCCTGCTACCTAAATATCTATACCCATTCCTTTATATTTCTCAATAGCTATCTTAAGATTTAAGCGCTGGAAACTAAAAAAAATGATCCGCTCACAAAGTATATTTTTTGCTTCCCTTGTTTGTTTTTTCACGAGAGACGATTAATGCAGATCGCGCTCTACCATATTCTCTCATAATTGTCTTTTAATGCTGCAACCATTGTCACTTGTCACGCCGTTGAAACTCGTAGTAAATTATGATAACGCATAATTCATTAGACGTGGCATGGCAGGAAAGATAGGCATTGAGATGTGACGTGTACCTCTAGTGTATGTACGTATGTGTACATAAGTATGCATTTATGTGTACGTAAACGTACAAGGGTGACGTCCTTTTTACTGATTTACGTTGTTGCACCTGACATTGAACTTTTCTCCACATACCGTCTCGGGCCTATCTATACGATAACGTTCTTCAAGGAAGAACACAATATTAAATTATTTACACAAATAATGGGACCCACGCATTTGTAGAGATAATTTATTTGTCAGTTATATAGTACTTTCTTCAATACATCGAATCTACTCTTGTACAAATCTGCTCAGTGAAAAGAATGAGAATGGAGAGAACAAAACAATCCTTACTTCACGATCACACGAATTTAAATCAGATCTTATTTATGAAATGCGTTTTTATTTAGTTCCCAATGATTCAATGATCATTTAGAATTGTAATTTAGACCACCATGATTCAGCCTATAGTACGGTTGTTGAAAATCTGCGATTTAAATTTTTGCGCAATGTTTCCACACTGAATACTCCCAACATTCACAAGGGAAGGCAAGTGATGGATCATTCAATAATAATCGCTTTACTTGTATGAATTCAGTCTTATTATACATGAGCGTGACGTCGAAGGTATTGTATGTGCGCATTTGAGTGGCGGGAGGTGTTCGTAATTCGAAAGGTCATTGACAGAATATTCAATCGAAATGCAGTCTCTCGTAAGATGTTTCGGGTTGTCCTACGATCCAGCAGTCTCGTCTCAGAGCAGATGACGCAGGTAAAATGACTGGGTTGGGGACCTTCGTGGTTGAATCAAAACTCTTAGGGCGCTACTGGAGCAACAGGAAGTAAAGTATTTAAAACCCTTATAGAATATTACACTGATACTTGCAAACTAGTAGACGTGACAGGCATGGCCAGAGTGTGCCCAACACGGCCTCCTGTCGCGCTTTGTGCGTGCCTTAAGGACTCGTCGAATGGGACGTGGCGGTTCCCCGAATTGTCGATTCGCGGCGTCGCGTGGGGGGCGAACTGCGCCTTTTCGTGGAAAGATTAACCTTCAGATGAGTAGTCATGGTGTATTATAGAATTTACCAATGATCTTACATTACTCCTTGGTCATCCCCAAATAATTCCCTAAAATGATATGACAGAATTTAAGCAACCAAGTTTGAATACTTTAATTCTCTTACCAACTTCCCGTTTTGTTTGGGCAGGCACAAACAAACGTGAAACAAAAAAATATGTTCTATGTGTCTCGAACATTATGCCTGTTAAATACTAAACGTAACAGTAACTAACATAATTATATACCGTTTACTAAAAAAGAGCTGATAATTTCGGATAAGTCAATTAAATATCAGAAGCTGCCTTATTTATTCACGCTTCGTTTCATAGCTTATCGCAGGCTCTAGCATCGGAGCGATCTCGATGAACCAAATTCAATACGAGTGATGCATTCAATATAACAATTCAGGACCATCAAGCTGCAAAGATTAAATATACAACAGATTTGTGACTCGTCAAAACATACCATGATTTCAAAACAGGAAATTTTCCGAAACTCGACCGGTGGATTTAGTAATATGCTTCGCAAGAAGAAAAAGGGCAAATGATTGCTGTAATGGTGGCGGCACCACCCCGATCCGATCATGCATCTAGATACCTAACCAAATGTCTCCAAGACATTCGCGCCAGGCGCAGTGTCAAGCGTATGGCACACTCGAGCACCGCTTCTCACATGGCACGCATCGCATCGGCTTAGTTACTCCATTTTCGTGGCTGTTTGATGGTGTGTAGGTGCAGTTAGGGGTAAAAGATTTTTCTGTTTAAATTGTACGAAGGTGCACGGGACTAAAAATTGAAGATATTTGTATACATATGTAAACTGATTTCTTGATCACCACCCCTTAGTGCGTTGTCAATGGAGGTCGTTCGATTTGACAGACCGCCCCACTGGTCTCCAATGATTGGAGGATATCGACATTTGTCGCAGTTAATCACAACACACATCCGATTAACTTCATTACAACACGATTAACAACACTCCATTAACTCGAAGATAGATGCATCATCGCCACACAAGTATCGAAACTGTTGCCTCGCCAGGCGTCAAAACGCACATTTTGCTGGGTCGCACCTCGTCCTGCAGGCCTCGCAGAGATCCTCCTCGTCAGTACAGTACCCAGAACATTCTTTGAGGGCGAGCCCGGCGTGTAGCCAGAATTTTCTCTGGGGGCAAACTCGCTCTTCAACATCAGAACATACAACTAAACTAAAAGATAGTCTACCTTTTTGCGAAACCCTGTTACGGCATTTTAGACGTAATTATATCTGAACGAGATGTGAAATTATTTATTTCGAGTATTTTTTTTACACTGTGAGTGTAAAATTAGTTCACTTAACATTTACATTTGCAAAGGAATTAAGTGACGTTTCAGTTGTCAGAAAATTAAGATCTTGTTTTACAGGCTGTATTTAATTCTGGACTCGCTTTTCATTGTTCAACTTTGTATCTCAGCACCCATCACGTTTTCTGTTACAATCTTCCGCCAGAACATTTTTGTATTTATTAACTATCCATTTCTGAACATTACTCAATTTTCACATAGGAGCACGAATCCTCCTCACCCTATCGGTGTCGCAATGTCAAGACACAGCCATGGATACGAGGGGGAGGATGTTCCTCGCAAGGGCTTCAGCCGCCCACGTTACGTGCCTGCTCCTCCGACATCGGTTTAGCAATTTTATTTCCAAGCTGTGTACGCTGCCCCACGCCCACACAGGAGAGGTCGCAGAATGCTGGAAGAGAACGCAGGCGAGCGGGGGTGTTTTGAGGATACTCACATAGTCGTGGAACGCCTTCGCTTCGCTGGAGTGCTCGCACGTGTCCCTGCGTTCAGGGGCGGCGCAGTACAGGTCCCAGAACACACTGCAAGCAAACAAGAAACACACGTCAGCTCCAGAGCTCCGCACAATAGCCAGCCGCGCATCTACTATTAGAGTGGTGTCCAAAATTGTCACTGTCAGTGTCAATTTTTGCACGACAAACGCAAAACTTTGTCCCCACGGACAGATACAATTTGAGGCCACTCTACACACAGCTGTGGAAACGCTGGATGAGTGAATAAAGTTTCAAGTTGTCCAAACCATATACAATTTGTTTGGAAATATTGTATAAATCTATGGTCGCAAGGCAAAAGTTCTTAACTTTATACCTAAATATATTCACTGAAGAACGTTTACCTTGGGACCACAGAAATATTGAATTCAAGAGATCAATTAGAAAAAAAAAACGTATCGAGCGCAAAAGAAATATTCTAGAATCTCGTTAACTCTAACTTATATTTCTACTTATGTTTGATTTTCCTTCAAGTTCCTAAGACATTTGGAATGTCTACTTCCATCATCGATATGCGGAAATGGACGCTAACACGACGTTAACCTTTTCCCCCTAGATTCGAAAAATCGAAGATCTACTACGTGAAGTAGAGATAACTGCTTGTCCCAGACGACACGAAACACAAACTACAGTAGGACCGACTACACAGATTTTGTTTGAATCGTAACGAATATTTTTTTAAAAAAATATATATATATAAACATTCGTAACCGTTTCATTAATCCACTTAATCATTGGGTCTCTGTCAGAGTTCTAGTATCACCCCCCCCCCACCTTCCCTCTTCGTCCGCGTGCCAGTTCTCGCTCGCTCTGCCCCTTTTCTGCCCCGCGGCCTCCATCGCGGGTGGTGGTGGTGGTGGTGGTGGTGGTGGAGTGTCAGTCCCGTACGCGTTACGAGAAAACTCGGTCGTTTCCCCTCGACAACGCGCCGCTGCCCCGTAACGCGGAAGGAGAAAGCCGGCGCCCGGGCCGCAGCCACCGCTGCACCGCCGATGCGGCACACACCGCCAGAACGTCGGCGCACCACCGGGAGAGAAACTTCCAACGCCGCCAAATGAGTATTTTTGGCCAACGACCGGTTGCAAATCATCACGATGATGTTCCTTCAAACTTTATTAAATCGCTATCTACTATTCCGCTGCACAACTGCCCAATTCCATCCAATTAGAGACTATACTGACCATCAAAAACGAACATATTTCTTTTCATAATGATATAAATGACGTACCAGCTACCATTTGTTTTGAACGCGGCCACAAAGCGAAATATTCTTGTGACAAGTATTGTACTTCAGCATGTGAGTATCTGACTCCCCCCTCAATCACAATTTCTTCATCGTTTCCCTCGATCTGTGGAGTAAATACAAAGATGGATCCTTGGTTTACTTCTGGATCGTAAATATGGCTTCATTATCTGCAAGTTTTGTTTCTCTCTCAAAATACTAGTTGTACGAAGAGTAGGGTGGGAAGGGGGTGTTATTTTATCAGAAATAAATACTATAAAATGAAATCTGCAGTTCGTTTCACGATGCAAATAAGTTTTATTTTATTACTCGTGAGTGAAAATTTATAGTTTTTAAATGTTCCTTACTACGCTTTTTTGGTACAGCTCGTAGCTATCTGTATTCATAATTCAACTGAATCAGAATATTACGAGTTAGGGTAGAGATCTCAGAGCTAAAAAAAACAGCCCAGATTGCACATCTTCCCACATGTCTCGACACCTCTAGTTTTTTCAGTTTTTTGACGTTAAATAAATTATAATAAGTTAATCTGCATTCATCACGCAATTACAGTAAAAGGGCAGGGGATGTACTAGAGAGCAAGGAAACGTGATTAGATTGCAGTTCTCCTCCATACGATGTATACATGTTTTACTGTTGTTTTATACGATAAGTAAATAAAATGAACTAGGGGACATTCATTTAGTGCTCCGGTGATATCAAACTTCACTCACTTTATTACGGAAATTTGAGGTCGCGGAGGTAGACGTCTTCACTCAGCCGCCTCCTTAAACCCCCCCTCGCATTGACATTAGCGATGCGACATCGACAACAGAACATGGATGTTCAAAATTACAAATTAAATTCATCGATGTTAATAATACATCGACCAATACACCACCGATGTTTTAAACGTTATTTGAGTCGACCGCACATAATAACTGGGTATCACTGTCAATTGAGTTATGTCATATTTTAATATTTTCCAAAATTGTGACTACAGGAATTTTTCATCCAGAAACTAGACATCGAAGCTGCAGAAACATCAAGCGCAAAAAAAAAAAAGTCTCACAAACGATCGGCTTTAATACATCGTGTTTCTATAAAAACATCCATATCGATGTCTCATCTCTAAATGGCATCAGGGATGAGCTTTCGACCGCGACCTCTGGCCCTTTAGCCCTAGGGACCCCAGTAGGACGCTACCAACGACATGGAACTACCTGTTTTCAGGTTCATCAAATCAGAAGTGACACATAATCTTCGAGGTCGGCAAAAGTCTGTTCTCCATTTCCCACGCGGTGGAACGCATTTCTGACTCTTTATAGCTTGCGAATATCATTCGCATTTTGTTCCGATTTTGGTACATTGCCATTGATGCCATTGGACATTGTACATTGCCATGGAATGGTGACAATGGTCCCACATCTCTTTAACAAGCATGACGCCATTCGTTACTCTTTCCGAGTTCTTGATCCATGCTAAAATATTCTTCTATTCCGTGTTTCTTAGATCACCACTGGCGCGCCGGGAAAATACGACGAATATAAATACAATTCGAATATCTGTAAGAAAATTTTCGTAATTTTCGTAATTGATTTTACACTCGGGAAGTAATCATAACCCACACACGATGAAGTTTTCCCCCCGGCTATTGCACGACGCGTGGCATAAGCACTGAAATGACGAGACGTATATCCTTCTATGGCTATTCACAGCTTGCAAATATACTTTGTCTAGTGCACAGAAACCACTTTCTATATACTAAATAAAGTGTCCAAATCTATGATTTCCAGTTCAACAATTTAAAACATTATGAACACTACACGTATGAATTGATTTTTCCATTCGTAAAATATCAAGATAAACCTTTTAATAATTGGAAATCGCTCATTGTAGCCACCTGTTCAACAGACAACTATTTGGACGATTACGGGCTACAAATTGTTAAGACATGAATTGATCTCATCACGTTCGATATAATTGAGCAGAGAATGAGGGTAAGAACAAAAAAACGTCATCAGACCTGTATAAAAGAAGTTAAGAGCTCCTATCCAAAACTTGAAAAAGCATACAGGGTATTTTTGGTCATTTAACTGTCGCTAATGAAGCACTAAGCGTTGCTACTATCTCCGTACTTTACTTGCATGAGGACAGCCGGATGGTCATCATCACTTTCGTCGGCTCGCAATGACACGGATCAGATGAGAAACTATCATATTCGTTACGTTTCAATCGTAACAAAAACTTTTCTTACTTCTAAAATGTTGCTAGTATAATGCAATAATAACTTTTTAACTTCATACACCTACTACCTCAAATTTCAAAGGTAGTTGCCGTCAGTATATGGACAATCTTTTGAAAATTATCAATGCATCTGGGTCGAATGCAGATTAGATATAGCCGTGTAATAGATGCCTGGTCGATGTAAAAAAGTATCTTCAAAAAACTGCTCGTCCTCAAATACTATCTTTCTCAAACCCAAATGAAGCTTTGGTACATGCAAAGTAAAGAGCTTCAAGCGCGCATCTCTAGCGATTTCAAATTAGAAGTAACCCCTTCACAGCGTAATATTATAAAAATCGAATCTACTTTTAGTACAATTAACCTTAACGATACTTGATCTTGATCCGGTGTATCCTTCTTCAATACAGATGAACCAAGAATTCCGGCTTTCAGAGACTGTGGGCTGTCTCGCGTATGAACGTATACATTTTGGGCTATTTCCTTCGGAATTTCGGGCTGGACCGTAAGAGTCCAGCTTCTGAGTTTTCCGTCTACAATAGAGATTCTATCGGTTCCAGAAGATTTTCCCCCATGAGTACCAGGAGTAAGTGTAAGAATACCAAACCACACATTTTCTCCGTGATGAGCTGGAGCTGCATGTGTCATTGTTTTTCAGAAAAAGCCCTTCCAGAAATAACCTAGCTGATCTGTGGAAGAAAGAACCTTATTACCATTTTCCCTGTAGCCTATATTACTTCGGAGAAGGCGCTAATGAGTGTGGCCTCGGTCGATAGCACATTCATGCCACGGTGTTCAGGCTGACAGGAAGAGTGTGATCTGTGCAACATTTTGACAAGGCTCATCATTCTAACGCACTGTGTACTTTCGATTGATGGTTTTATCGTTCGTAACGATACTGGTGTTGATCATATGATACAGTGACGGACACCTTATTTTAAAGATGTTTTAAATAATCTCAACTGTGAATGCTTCGAAGAGCCATTTGAAATCAATATCGGAAAACTTTAACATCGTGGTTAGAAGTAAAAATATGAGATAAAATTTACAGAAAATTTAATAGATCTTCATAGTCCATATTACATCATGAATTTATATTAACAATTCCTACGTACAAGAGTTCCTGTCTATAATGTATGTATCTTGAGTTGAGTTATATTTCGTTGGTTTTTTTTTAAGTAAAACCTGTACGTGACTTTTTTTGAGGAGAAGTGTAATTTACGCACGATTTCTTGAGCTCCAGAATTTCTTCCCCACCTATTAACCATAAATAGTTGAATGATGAATAAAAGTAATCAATACATAGTCGTCAACATTTGAAAAACAGACTGTTTCGCTCCAAGTTACAGAAAACGTGTCTGCATCGGTTAACGGACCACATATTTAATTATTTTAGTGTCGCTAACTACTGGGGTTCTATAGTGATTTTTGCTCGCTGACTACACAGAATCTCAGAGTGATTCAAGTCAGAGGACGATCTATTAACAAACCCTGCGTACTGCAAACAAAACGGGAGACGAAACCTCACGGAACAGTCACAAGAAGAAGCGACGCTTTTCGTAAG